TCACCCTCTCTGCTGAGCATGTGCAGTTAAACTGGGACTGGAACTCAGGTTTCCAGACTCCGGCTTTCTGGGGCTCTTTGGTACATGAAAATATTTGTCTTGGAGGCTCCAGGCTGGGCTCACCAAGTACTTTCTTCTGTCGAGCCTAATTGAATTAGAAGCTGTTTATGGAATGTTCCTGAAGAGTGTGGGAAATAGAGTCATCTGGTAAGTAGCAGGGGTTTTGGTCTGTGATGTAGGGAGCTTAAAGTGACACCTTAACATGCAACAGCACTAGTTCTCTGCCACTATTTCTACCTGTGCACACGTCAGAGGACTCTTGCTCATGTGAGTCACTTCCCTAGATATGCTCAGCTTCTCCCAGAATCTAAACAGCTCTTTGGGGAAACTGAGATGCCACAGGAATTTATAACAGCCACAGGAGATTTGTGAGGACTGAAAGCTTTAGAATCGGGTATTTCCATAAAAGAGCCTGACCTGGAAGGTCGTGAGTTTTGTGGAATCCCAGCTACACTGCTTTCTCTCCCACTTGAAGAAAGCTCGTTGGAATACAAATAGTGAAAGTCATGGCTCTTTATTTATGGGAAAAATCATTCATAAATTTTGCTACTTTAAGTATTAATAATTTAATAAAGTATAAAAAATAATTATTTATAATACTACATGGTAAGTATCTCACCACTGATGAAGACAAACTGGTTGAGAATTGTTTTCATCAAGGAGAGCAATCGTGACAATTCTGAAAACAGCGTTTCTTTTTCTTTAGTCTTATTTAGTTTTCCTTCATAACCTTATTATTTCTTTTAATGTCTCATAACTGCTGTGTGTACCCTAAGACTAAAATTAACCTTGGGGAGCAGAGCAGGTTTGTTGTGAACCTGGGTGAGTGCTCAGGCTCTTTGGAAGAGAGACTCAGAGGGCCTCAGACACCCCCAGAAACCAAACACACCATTCTCGCTGCCCCTGAGACCACTGTGAGGAAGGCTGGGAACTGGCTTTTGGATGCATACACTGGTATTTTATGTGCAGCCATTAAATACTGTACTTGATTGATTTCTACAATTTTATTTATTATTTATCACTTTTTCTGAAGTGGAAAGTTTAAGATATTTTCCTGGGAATATTCATTTGTATGCAAATATTCTATTTATGTCAGAAACAGAAGTGCATGAGAGTATTGTAAAGGGTAATTTTTTGTGCATAAAAAGATAAAAGTTTAAATTGAGAAGATGTAATGTTTTAGATTGAAATTGACAGCTTTTGCTTTTTTTCTTCTTTCTCCTAGGCCTTATTCCACTGCTGGGGATTGATGTATGGGAGCATGCATATTACCTTCAGTACAAAAATGTCAGACCTGATTATCTAAAAGCCATCTGGAATGTCATCAACTGGGAGAATGTAACTGAAAGATACAGGGCTTGCAAAAAGTAAAATGTTACACTGAGTACGTGGAGCTCTTTACGACCATTTTTGTAGGAGCGTAGGGTGCTGCCGTGTACCAATGAGCTGCTGTGTTGTAGCTTTTCCTGCTGTTGCTTATTCACATATTTGATAAACAGAACTTAAGGTTATGAGTAACTTTTTGTTTTGAAATTTTGTTATTGTTCAATTATTTGAAAATAGTAAATGCTTGAGTGATTTAATCTTGATTGGTCATTATTCAGAGCTAAAATAGCCAGGAGGTTATAATTATCATCATAAAACCATCAAAAATATTTCATTCTTGTACTTTTAGGGTCTCTAGGGAAGACTTTCTAATCCTTTTTTATTGCAGTTATGGAAAATCTAATCTTTTTCCCCAG